TTGGGAAACTCTTTGTGAGGACAGGGGAGCCACCAAGGAGTTTTATTGCTGGTGGAGTAGATGCAGTAAATGCAGTATTACTGCAAAAAAGGGGGAAAAAAGGCCAAACAACCAGTGCTCTTCTCATTAGAAGTTCAGCTGCTGTTTTCAGTGCAATAAGTTCCAGGTTCTTCTGATGCTACTGTGTGTGATCATGCCAGAAGATGCCGCCGTAAGGAGATAGCCGGATGAGTGACACACTCTGTCTGGGCTCCATCCCTGCCGTGCAGCCATCCCAGCATCACGCCTGCTTTTGAACTAGCGCTGGCTCTGCAAACAGCCCGGTGCTGGCGAGGGAGCTTTCCTGCTTCGAGCCCTGAAACCTTTCTGCCTCTTTCAGCCACTCGCAGCACCCTGTTGTGCCCTAATGGTTACAAATGCGAGGACGGAGAGGCCTGCATTATGGTGACGGAGCGGTGCGATGGATATCTGGACTGCTCAGACAGCAGCGATGAGAGGAACTGTACCGGTAAGTACCAGCCCTCCTCTCCCATTCCTCGTGCTCTGCTCTGCGCTAGCACACAGAGGTGCTCACCTGGATGTGTGACCTTTAATTCACAACATCCTGGTCATATCTGCCTCTGTCCAACTGTCCAAGTTACCCCCTTGCCCATTTATAACCAGCTGGGACAAACTTCCCATCCAGCTTCTACACTGACAATTCATCTTCCAGCAGCCTCAGACAGAAAAACAACTTTAGACTGGGTAGGAGCAATCTGCCTATTTTAGACGGCCCACGGGTGGAGCCATAGTTTCCAGCTTCATCCTCCTTTGCAAGGTGACCCTGGCAGCCGTGGCACGTGCCCCTCCACCATCACTGGTCCTCCCATGCTGGCCTTCGGTGGCCCTGTGGAGGCAGGCGGGACACGCACACCACAGCCTGCCCTGGGCAGATAACAGCGATCGATCGCCGTCTCTGGCCAGCCGTGATTCAGCCGCTTTCCTACTGCACTGCTTGGGGGTTTGAGCATCAATCAGGTTTTAGTTCTTTAATTAAATATTGATTGGGAGAGGGGGAAGGAGCTGCCGAGATTCACAGCTCGGCTGCTGTGCCAAGGGGAAACCATCTCTTTTCCCTCAGATAGCTTGTCTTGCCATGCCTGTCTGTGGACCCACGTGCCTGCTGCATTTCGTTTCCAGTTGGTTCGAGAAGGCAAAGCGGCAGCAGTTTGGCTCTGGGAATGAAGCTGAGCACCCAAGCGCAGCCAGGCCACAGCATTTGGATGTGGGCGCTGACATGCGGTCCCCGGAGGGAGAGAGCAGGGAATGGCCTGGCAGTAGCAGGGGATCAGTTTGCACTCATACACTTCCAAAAATGGTGTTGAAGAGTATTTCATCAACGGTCACGTTTTTTCTTTCCTTGGGGAAAAAGGGATGCTTGCATGATGCAGCATAAAGACAAACAAGACGTTTTGGGGAGAACTAAGAGCACCAGGGGTATGTTCCTGCTCTGCACTGCCTTCCGAAGAGCCTGTTCTTCTGCACTAATAACACCTGCCCAGATTACACATCTAATTAAATGGTGCAAATACTCCCTTCAGTCACAGTACCGTTTCTACCTGCACATGTTGTTGGTGCTACCAGCATAACTCCTGTTTCTCTTCTGGGCAAAGGGCTTGTTTTCCTCTGATAGACTAACTTTTCCCTTTGCTTGCTTAGATGACACAATCGTGTACAAAGTCCAGAACCTCCAGTGGACGGCCCATTTCTCTGGCGATGTCACTCTGACATGGGCTCGGCCAAAAAGAATGTCCTCGACCTCCTGTGTCTACAACATCTATTACAGGTACCCCGTGCGTTCCGCTGCACGACCCCTTGCTATTCATACCAAGGAAAGGCTAGAGAAGCATGAGCACGGGTATCAGAATGCCTGTGTTTACAGCTAAGTACCGTACAGAATCAGGCCTGAAAGACCGAGCGATATGCAATCTAGTTCTGCTTGGAAAATCTTCTAATACTTTGTTCTGAAGGCAACCCAGAATAGCTAGGGGGCATCTGTGGAGAGCTCTATTTCAACCAGATTATTTACTCGGACAGCAACGTGGCTATATGTGTTTGTTGTTTTTTTTTTTTCCTGCTCGGACCTTGTCTTTGTGGGACCGCTAACAATGAGAACAAAGTCAAGAAATGAGAGCACAGAAAACCTCAGAGGGTGGTGCTTACAAGTCACTGAGCTATGTTTAGTTCAGGTGTTGAGAGAGCATCTTTTCAGGCTGGTGATGTGGTTTTCTGACAAGGAAACTAAGCAGCAAGCCCTTATCGTACAGATAGATGGTGTCAGCCTTTGTTACTAAACCCTGTCCTGACCAGAGGGGTGTGATCTCTCATGCAGGATGGTTGGTGAAAGCATCTGGAAGATTTTGGAAACCCACAGCAACAAAACCAACAGCATTTTGAAAGTCCTCAAGCCTGACTGTACCTATCAGGTGAAAGTCCAAGTGCAGTGTCTCAGCCGAGTCTACAACACCAATGACTTCATCACCCTCCGGACACCAGAAGGATGTAAGCAGGTTTTATTTAGTGTCACTGTGGAGTTCTTCTCTCCTTACAATGCAGCGAAGAGCCCGTGGGACTGTTCAGCACCACACACAAGGAGCAAGATCCTTCTACCTGCAGAGTGGGGGTCAGGCTAAGGAAGGGATGCACAATAAAGCAAAGAGCCTACCAAAATCCTAGCTTCACCACAGTTACAAAAAAAGGCTTAATTGTTCCAGAGTGGGGCTGAAAGGGATTTGGGACACAGCTGCAGAAATAAGACATCTTCCATGAGCCAGGACCGCCTAGCCCTTCCCCCTCTGTCCCAGCCTCTCAGGGAGACCCTGCTTTTCCCAGTGTTATCTGGACACACCAACGGTGACTGTCACTAACACCTCTGCTTCTCTCCCTAGTACCAGATGCTCCCTTTAATCTTCAGCTGTCCCTGAAAAAAGAAGCTGAGGATGTGGTGATGGGCTCCTGGAGTCCCCCCGTGAACGCCCACGGCCTCATACGGGAGTTCATCGTGAGTCCTGCTGCCCGACGGGGCCGAGTCCAGATGGGTGGTGGGACAGGGAAGGCTGCTGAGGGCAGCTGGCCTCTCTGAAGACAGCTACCTCTGCAGAAGGGGGTGGGCCAGGAATAGGACATTTCATAGGGGAAATACACTGGGAGCATCCGGCAAGTTGGGAGAAGAAATGCTGCAGGGCTGTAGGTAGCGACACAGCTGTCAAGGTCATGATTTCATTTCTGGCACCCTTTCTAAGCTTTTATACTCATTTCTATTGAATCTTTCATAGAATCATAGAGCGGTTGGGGTTGGAAGAGACCTTAAAGACCATCAAGTTCCAACCCTCCTGCCATGGGCAGGGACACCTCCCACTTTGACACAGAGGGACCTGTCATCCTGCGGTACCACTGACTGTGAAGCCCTCATCCCTTGTTCTGGTGCTCCTAGGTGGAATACAGCAGGGCTGGATCCAAGGAGTGGTCGTCCCTTAGAACTACCAAGAACTACACTGAGATCAAGAACTTACAAGTCAACACGTTATACACAGTTAGAGTGAGTATTTTCAAAGCTCTATGCATGCTCTCATTACTTTTCACTAGATAGACCAAGTCCTGCACAGCCAAGTACTTGCTAAAAAAGTATGTTGTTAAAATTCTGCCCTTTAATGTCAACCCACAATGGGGGCTTGGCATTTGCACTGCTAATATATATAATTTCACGGCCTGAATTAAGCCCCTTTATTTGTTTCTTCTCCCAGAAGGCCAGGCTGTATTATGAAATCTGCACTACTAATTGCCCACTCCAATGTCACTGCAATTGCACCGGATCTGGGCCAGAGATAAATTTGGTCCTGACTGTATCAGTGGGAAAAGAAGCAGATGCGCCTGTGGGGAATATATGCATGTGGGAGAAGCTGGGTAATTATAGACAGAACTAATAAGAATAGGAAATGAAAGTCTGCACATTGGGCCATGGGAAATGCATATTCTGCCATTGTCCATCCTCCCTGTGCTGAATGAATGTGGGTTTTTGGGGAGGTCACTGGGAGGTGGGATAAACCCCTCTCCCCACCCATGAATCAATGTTATTCTCACACTCGGTTGGAACTACTCTTTCCTTCCTTGGTATTCCTTCCCATACTAATTTGTTCCCAAATAAATTTTTGGACCTGGATTCAGAAATTGCATGGATTTCACTAGCGTGGTTCTTACCTACACAATGGCCAACAGAGTCCAAAGCTCCTTATCTTAATGGACTCATAAAGATCTCATAAGAAAGTGGTTATCTGCAAAGAGGATGCACCTCCCTCCTCTTAGATTCCTTTAATTGACTTAAAGTAGTCTGCTTTATCTCTGTAATAAGCATTTTATTGCCAAGTAATTAAGCTATTGTTTGCTTCAAAGTCCTTTTCCCATGAGCTCCACCATGTCTGTAACCTTGCTCTAACCTCATTCTCTGTTTGTATTATACAATGTTGGCGGCGTACATTTGTTCATATTAACTAACCCTCTTATTTGAAAAGGTTGCTGCAGTAACTAGTCGAGGAGTGGGAAACTGGAGTGATTCCAAATCCATAACCACCATAAAAGGCAAAGGTAAATGTTATTGTTTCAGTCTACTCAGACAACACAGCAAAAAGGCTGCATGCAAGCTTGCAGCGTTAGCATCAGCATGCATAACCACCTCCTTGTTCTTTATTCCTCCCTGTTGAGCATTTTACACTATTTAACAACTTTGCTGTACCATTTCACTTAAGTTGATCTGCCTCAGAGTTCAGTGGCGAGTCTGAACGGGTTCCTGACCCTTCCTCTGAACTCTGTGGCACGTAGGATGGAGGTACTGCCCTGGAAGTGGGCGAGAAGCCCTCTCTCCTGGACTGCAAATGGATTCCTTCTGACTTGTGTAGCCTAGATCATACCTTCAGATAGGCAAGAGACATTACCTCTAACTCCTTTGCTGTCACTGGCTGAAAGGATGCTTGCTCATTCTTTTCCTTCTTAGGTTACGATTATGATGGCTTCTGCATCTCATGTAGGTTGGACCACTAAAAGACCACTGAGGCTCCCGCAAACTTCCACAACATTACGGCAGATAAATTCAAACAGCACAGCACATCATTTCCCTCCAAACTGTTTTTAGAAAAGCCTTTTGAAATCATTTGTATTCATGCCAAGTTTTTCTTCCAAACCTGTATTCTAGTGTCAAAATTATCTGCTGATTTGTCAGATAAAAGTGCATCCTCACTATGTTGACAAAGGAAGGAAAGAAAACAGCATGCTACTAAAAATGCAGAGTTCAGATAATAGGAAGTACATGAGTACCTGTTGGTTAGAAAAACAGAGGTAGAAAGAACCGTAATAACTTCCACTTCGGTTTTTGCCTGAGCGTTTGGCAGCTGTCCCCACCAGTAGCTCCTGACCTCTCTCGCCAGTTCCTCTGAAGGCCAGAAGCCATTAACTGTGATACGAGCTTGTCCCGCTGAGTTCAGAAGGACAATAGCTGTGTCCACCCCTCTCTGCTTCCAGCCTGTGCCAAGCAAGGCACAGGTGAGGCAGCTTTTAGATGGCTGACTGAAAAAATGATGGAGGTACAGCACGTAAATGCCTTCCCTGAGGGGCACGTGTCTTAGATACAGGCAAAGTCAGGGCTGGAAAGATGGGATTCCTGGTCTGAGAAACGATTGCCATAAAGCAAGCCTGTATTTTACCTGCCCCCTCTCGATAAGTGTTTGTATTTCTTTGTGCTGCAGTAACAGCTGTTTCTCCTTTTCTTTCCTTCCAGTCATTCCCCCACCTGTAATACACATTGAGAGCTACAGCGAGGACTCCATAAGTTTCAGCCTAAAAATGACTACTAATATCAAGGTAAAATTTTTACCTTTACTTCAGAAACTAGAATAAAGAAAACAAGGCTTGCGTTGGGTAAATGGTGAATACCAGATGGGATAAGCTGTCACCCATTTCAGTATTGGAATTACTTTTTCAAACTAGTTATTTCCTCCCAAATAACTTCTTACTACTCGTCACCTGTCCCAGCTCTCTTAATTAGAACGGGAAGTACAATGCAAAGACTTTCACCAGTGAGCCTTTCGTTGCATGCCAAACCAGCTGAGCTGACAGTTCATACGGTGTGCCCTTGCTGCTTGACAGGTTGGTGGCTATGTTGTGAACATCTACTGGACATTTGATACACACAGGCAGGAAAAAAGGACTCTGAGCATAGAAGGAGAAAAGTCCATCCAAAAAGGTAATTTCTATGCCAAGTGTAAAATTCTGCTCTAGTCAATACCAAACAGAGGCTTTTATGCAAGGCTATAGGATTTTTTTTTTTTCAACTGAATAGTTTCTGTTTAGAAGAGAATAAATCTTGAGAGGACAAACCAGGAAATCCTTAGCCTCTCATCTTAGGACTTGGAGATTTCAAGCAGATTTGGGATTTATCCTCCAGAGCTGCACTAGTCTTTTCTCATCACATGGGATTTTGTTTGTGGTTCCTTATCTACTCTGCAAAAGGTCAACAATTTCTTGGGCTTGTATATGGTACATGTCCCTATTAATCAGATTACTTTCTGGTTTGGAAAAATCACGGGTGTGCACAGTCTAGATATGGGAAAGCATCCTGATACAGAAAAGCACAGGGTAGCTTAGATACCAGAGTCCCAGGTGCTTCTGTTATAAAGGAAATTACTCAAAATGAATCAAAACGCAAATGAAGTGAGGCAGGTTCCTGTCTAAGATTGTTCGATGCTGCTGACCGTTTCCTAGTGCTCTCACCCTGCCATTGCAGTGCTTTGCCTCACCTAATAGCACGCGTTTCTCTTCTTGCTCAGTGGCAAATTTGACAGCACACACCCCCTATGAAATTTCTGCTTGGGCTAAGACGGAGCTGGGTGACAGCCCTCTGTCTTTTGTACATGTGGTGACCAGTGGGACAAGACCTGCATCGCCAAGTCTCAAAGCCAAGGCCATCAACCAGACTGCGGTGGAGTGCAGCTGGACCGGACCCAGGAATGTCGTAAGGCACCAGCTCTCTTTTCTCACCAGCCGGGTTGGGGTCTAGCTCAGAGCCCCAAAACACAAGCAAAATCATAAAACAGGATTATTTGTAGGGATTGAATTGCAAGACCCTGAACATGTTATGCCCAAAAAATGAGGGAAAGTACCTGCTGTCCCTTAAACAGAAGCAAGGAAAGCCACCTTGTCTGTTTGTTCAGCCACTGATCCAGTGGAGAAGCGGCTGAAATGCAGACAGCATGATGCTCCAGCGGTCTTTCAGTCGACTGCTGTGTTATCAGAGCTGAGCCCAGGATTTCAGGGTGGGGAGTGCAGCAGTGAGAGGGCAGACTGAACCTGACCTGGGGCAGGAGAGAGTGCCCAGAGGAAAAAGGGTCTTTGCGTCATGTCCTGAAAAAGCAGCAGCCAGTGAAAGTTTAGGTGGGAGCTCTGGCCCTCGTGAAAATCTCTACCATGCCTTTTGTGCTCTTCCTATGTAGGTCTATGGCATCTTCTATGCCACATCCTTCCTTGAGCTGTACAGGAGCCCTCACAGCACCGCCACGACCTCCCACAACATCACCGTGATCGTGCAGCGGGATGAGCAGTACCTGTTCCTGGTGGGCTCCTTTTCTGTCCCCCTCCTCCCTGCGCTGTGGGCTCTAGCTCGGTACCGAAGGGTGTAGGCACAGTATTAACCGCTGTGTCATCCCTTCAAGGTCCGTGTGATGTCTCCCTACCAAGGGCCACCATCCGACTACGTTGTGGTGAAGATGATCCCTGACAACCGGCTTCCCCCCCGGCACCTCCACTCGGTGCACACTGGAAAGACGTTCGCAGTCATTAAGTGGGAATCGCCCTACGATTCACCCGACCAGGACATGGTAACAGCTCACAGTGCCTTCTCCTGTCCCTTTGCACACAAAACCCTGGCTCAAAGGCAGATCCCTGCCCTGCTGCTGATGGAGAACTGAGTCTGATATCAGGTCTACCCTCCATCTAAATAGTCAAGGTGCTAACACCTCTGGGACCAGCCCTATAACGTTCATGCAGCATTTAAAAAGAGTCAGATCTGGGATGTCTGTTGCAGACTGAGTCTGAAAGCAAACTTGGGCACGTGCTAAAACACCTTTCTGGGCATCAGCCCTGGAGTCGGTGCTGGCCAGGGCCCGAGCACAGCCCGCAGGACAGGCATCGGGCCAGCCGGGCTGTGGGCTCTGCTCCCGCTCCAGCTGCGCCGGTGCAGCCCCAACAAAGCCCGGTCCTGTTTTCTGGCACACTGGTGTATGGTCAGGTCTCGCTCCATTGAAGGCGAGTCATTTTCTCAGCAAGCTTTCCGCTCCTATTCTGGTCCAGAGACTTTAGCAGCAAAGGTTTAAAGGTATAAATCTTCCTGGCAAAACCGGAAACTTTGACAGGGCAGGAGTTTGCATTGCATCCTTGTGATTCATTAAGAAATACAACCCAAGATTCTCCTCCTGCCCTCGTCTGTTCCAGTAACTGCATTTTCTGTATCTGTAAATACTGATCTAGGGCAGGGATCCAGCTAGTCCAGCAAGAGGCTTGAAAGCTTACTTCCCAGGCTTTCTGTAGAGCGCAGGCACGGTTTAGTTCAAATTTTGTCCCCTCCCCATCGAATGTCCTACCATTGTACAAGACTGCTAGCAAGTCTGCAGGAAAGTAAGATCTCTCACTACGTGTACCTTTCCTCCCCCTCCAGTTATATGCTGTCGCAGTTAAAGACTTAGTAAGAAAAACAGATAAAATCTACAAAGTGAAAACCCGGAACAGCACGGTGGAGTACACCATTAAGAAACTTGAACCGGGAGGCAAATACCACGTGATTGTTCAACTGGGAAACATGAGCAAAGAATCCAGCATGAAGATCAACACAGGTAAAGGAAAAAGTACCCTGGGTGGGTGCTGGGGGGAGTGCCTCCAGCAGTGTGCGCTGGCAGGAATCCAGCGCCCGTCCCACACGCCATCCATCCCACCCCTGCGCTGGCTGGAGGCTGCAGTCGGGTTTCTGCATCGCTTAGTCCTCTCCCACAGCCAAAGCCCAATTCTGAGGGGCCTCTCTGCAGCTCCCAGGGAGGGCAATTAAACCCCCAAACAGCAGCAGCAGAGAGGAAGCCTCTCAAATGATAGCCAGGGAGTTTTTCTCCCGCCTAGGTGGAGATGGGAAAGACACCTGTTTGGCTGTGTGGACACAATAAAATACCTTTATGGTCCTACCATAAAAACTCACGGAAAAACTCCTACCAGATCACACGCCACCGTGTCCTCTACTCCAGCACAGCCCTGTTCTAAGCAGAATACCATGCTGATCCCTAAAAAATACTAAGTGACCAAGTGACTAAGTGACTAAGAACAGGAATGCTAAGAATACAAATATTAAGAATACGAAGTGACCCTGTTGCTTTCTAAAACTCACGGAAAAACTCCTACCAGATCACACGCCACCGTGTCCTCTACTCCAGCACAGCCCTGTTCTAAGCAGAATACCATGCTGATCCCTAAAAAATACTAAGTGACCAAATGACTAAGAACAGGAATGCTGAGAATACAAATACTAAGAATATGAAGTGACCCTATTGCTTTCTCCAAAGCCAAAAGAAAAGTGCCACCAGTGTTAAAACCTAACCCGCCTGCCGTTGTTCTCATTTGCAGTTCCACTGTCTGCACCAGACGCCTTAAAAATTATAACAGAAAATGACCACATTCTGCTTTTTTGGAAGAGTTTGGCATTAAAAGAAAGTAATTTCAATGAAAGCCGGGTAAGTTGTGCTGTCTCTCCCATCCTACAGGCAGTGTTTCAGAAAACCCGGAGCAGAGTCCCTGCAAGGCTCCTTTCCCAGGCTCTTTACAGTACACCAGCACGCTCTGCTCGCCCCGGTGTCCTTGGTGAGACCCCCACCTAGAGCTCACTTCAATTCCTACCACGCCTGAGGCACTAAAGCTGATAGATCCAATCGGTCACCTTTTAGGAACATAATTATCTTCTTGGAAAAGGTCAACTGTCACATGTGAAGGGACTGGGAACAGGACACTGCCCCGCCGTACCGGGAAGCACATCGGTAGCATCTGAGAACTGGCATTATTTAGACTTAGATAAAGAGTCTGGGACATCTTCTCTATCAGGGCACAGACAGGTAGCAAACAATGCCAAAAAAAGCCATCACCGTTACTGGACTCTGTTTTGGGTGGTCTCGAGTGGAACCAGACAGACCAAAATCTTCTCCCTGACGTGGCCAAGGTCAGCGCACGCTGACAGATGCCCGGAGGAGGCTCCACATTGCTCTCTCCCAGCTGATAGCCCACTGCCTTGCATCAAAGCTAGGTTCAGGAGGAAAAAACAAATTTCCAAGCCCTGCCAGAAGGAGCAAACCTGACCTCTGCAGCCCAGTGATTTGGGGTTTGTGTCTTTGTTTTCACAACTCTCAGGGTTACGAGATTCACATGTTTGACAGCTTGATGAACATGACGGCTTATCTCGGGAACACCACAGAAAACTTCTTCAAGGTGTCCAACCTGAAGATAGGTCACAACTACTCATTCACCGTTCAGGCAAGGTGCCTGTACAGCGGGCAGATGTGCGGCGAGCCAGCCACGCTTCTCTATGATGAGCTAGGAACGGGTAAGTCCCTGGCATTTTCCCCATCCTCCTTAACAAAGACTAATGAAAGCCCCACAAACTCACTGGAGAGGTGTGCTGTCAGTTGCAAATGGCACGTCTCTCCCTCCATTATCTGTAGGTGAAGACTCCTCTGCAACAAAAACCGGCAGATCCATGGATGTTGCTGCCATCGTGGTACCGGTACTGTTCCTGCTGCTGGTGACCCTCGGGATTGGGTTCGTGGTGCTGTACATGAGGCACAGGCAGCTGCAGAACAGCTTCACTGCCTTCGCAAACAGCCACTACAGCTCCCGCCTGGGCTCGGCCATATTCTCCTCGGGAGATGATTTAGGTACGTAGCCCTTGGTTTCATGTACAGCCTTAAGGATGTGAAAGGAGTGCAAGACCTAACTTCTCCCTTGTGCTTTGGGCCACCTTTGGCATAAAAATCCCTATGGATTTGGTCCTGTTCTAAGAGCACAAAGCTGTCCCAGATAAATGTTTTTATCAACTTCACTTAAACTACTCCCATTACTGCAAATCAGTTAAAACTTGGGTATAACAGATAAAACAACCAGGTAAGAGCACCAGCGAGGCCATGATAAGCTGGTTTTGGGGCCAGCTTCAGTAGCCCATTTAGTCGTGCCCCGTGAAACACCGAGGGCAGCGTAACAGAGCTCTGGGTTTGTTTTTCAGGAGATGAGGATGACGAAGCCCCAATGATAACTGGATTTTCAGATGACGTTCCCATGGTCATCGCATGAAGCGCATTTCTGACTGTAAAAACCAAATGGTGTAAATATTTTATTTGATAAAAATAGTTGATTGTTTATTTTAAAAATGCACTTTGAGTTGCAATATGTTATTTTTATATGGGCCAAAAACTTTTAAAGAATACACTTTGTAGTAAACAACTGTGAATTGCAGACTAGGTTGGTTTAGTAACAAATTGCTTTGATTTAACATTCATTTAGTCTTACAAGGCTATGCTTGCTGGGCATGCTTTTAAGTCTGTGAGATATTTTCCGTTGACTAAATTGGCTACTCATTTTATTTTTCTAAGACAAGAATAAATTTATGTAAAAAAAAAAAATCAGGAGATTCTATATGTAGAGAGAGATAAGTAATATAGTCCCTGAAGATTTTGCTTTTACTTAAAAAAAAAAAATCCTTTGGACTTCGTTTTATATGGAAGTATTTTTGTTTTTTAATTTATTGGGAAATCTGCTTGAGAACAGATTTCCAAAGTCGTCAGACATTGTACACATTATTGTGTAGAACATGTGCCACTTTATCTTGCAAGGCAGTAGTATCCTGGCATCCCCATCATTGTTCTTGCCACGATAACAAAAATCCTTACTTTTACATATTTTCCCCCATATTAAAAGACACAATCTTTCAGCAGTCTCAGAGTCTAGGTCAAGATACTGCAGCACATAATTGATATGTGAGTTTAGCTTCTTGCTGCCCTACCTCTAAGTCAAAAACACCCCTACCAAGCTGTGCTGCCAAGGGTCGTGCAAACCCTCGTGCATACGTGCGACACGCCACGGGCCGTTAGCAGGAGGGTTTCTGGGCTCTGCCCACAGGAGAGAGCTTACCCCTGGGCAGCAGCGCTGCAGAATCCTTTGGCAGCGCTGTGCAAGCACCCAGGCGTTGTGGTTTTGACCCTCACTTTCGGGTGTGCAGTAACAACAGTCCATGCCATGCCCTTCCCTCCCACTGCTGCCCAAACCCCTTCGGGGGGCACCTGCAGTTACTGACCTGCTGACCGTGCCCATCACGCGTGGCCTAATTCATCTGTAGTTTACGTCAGTAACGTAATTGAAAAAAAATTTGCCACAACCTGAAGTTAAAGCGCACACCTTAAAACACGCTTCCCAGCTAATCAGGAGCCCTTTCCTCCGTGGAGCTTCTCTAAGATGCTGCTGTGTCGGTGGGACAGAAGGGGGAGCCTCCAGTGTGTGCAACTGGGAAAGAGCTCAGGACACAGATTTTCCACAGTCGTACAGAGCTGTAATTACTAAACATCTAAATTCGTTTGCTTTACAGCAGGGATTCAATCCTCCTTCATTAGCATTTCCTAAAAGTAGCTGTACCTTCAGCTTTAGAAGTAACACATATATACATATACAAATATATTATTTTCCCATCACTAGTCATCTCACATTTGCAGACATAATACTGGCTACAGAGCTAAGCAGTACAAATGTCTGGTTACCACTGTCGAGCTTTTTTTGGGATAGCAAAATGTGAATCTCACCACAAATCCAATTATTTCCCAACCCAAGAGCAATGACACGAGCAGATGTTCATGGGTCACGTCTGTCTGTGCTCTACATGTGCAAAGCTTCGCACCAGTAAAATACAGCACACTGTCTTGTCACGCTGTTTTCTTTGTTTAAATCAAAAGTATTTTTGCTGTGTAAATTAAGTTATAAATGCAGTCTTCCTACAGATTAAATGAGAGGGGCCAACTATGTTTTGATACGTGACTCATCCATTTAATTTCACATATAGAAAATGTATAAAAAGTTTAAGATCTGTATGGTTTGATACGCTATAGAAATACTAACTCTATTTTCAATTACTGATGTTACCATTCCCAGGGACAGTTTTTTCCCACAAAGCTGGGACCAAACTATAATCAGATTTTTATAAGTAGCAAGGAGCTGGCAGAATTGCAATATTTTACAAATATTATGAGTGGGTCCGGTGCTGTTCAGGAGTCAAAATTTTGGGCGTATCAACCCAGTGTGTATAGCTCAGTTTGCCTAGAATGACAGCTACACAGAGAGACCAGAATCTGACCCAGAAGCTAAACTATTCTAAAGATATAAATCAAAAGATTTTATACAGGACAGAAAGCCTAAAAGCAGATATAGAGAGTATTGAACCCCTTCCTTACTAAGCAGATATTTCTGGCACAAGTAACTGAAAACTACAGTAGAGTATCCCAGAAGCTGGTGCACCTCTCTGGTGAGAATTACTCTTGGTTAAATACTGCTACTTTACTCCCCCAGGGTAAATACGCTCCAGTAAGGAGAGTAGAATTTAGCCTATCTCTGTCTGGAAGATGCCAAAGGGGACCCTGTAACCACTTTATATTCTGCAGAAATCCCTTGGCTGGATGCTTTCAAGCATCAGCTGGGGGACAGGTCACTTCTGGTCACTCTGAAAGGCTCCTTTGTACCCGTGGCTCCACGACACTCATACGGAGCTCAGACTATTGCCAGCAAAGCATTTTGTTGTGATACTGTACTCAAAAGCAACGCTCCCGGTTCCCTGCGCCTCACTGACGCACCGTGGGCGGAACAGAGCCCTCTGCCCTCGGTCTGCAGAGTCACCCCTGCGCTGCATAAGCTTTGGGGACGCTGCAGCAGGCGGGCTTTGTGCAAAGCTGCATTTCCCTTGTGTGGACTGTGCTGTAATGCACCGACATGCCCTACGCTCCGAGACTTCCCCTTCATTGCAAAAATCACCACTGTGCTCTCAGCAACGCAACTTCACAGGGCTAGTGTATTTTATATATAGAGAGAGAAATCTACGCCCCCGGTCATAAGCTTTGGGGACGCTGCAGCAGGCGGGCTTTGTGCAAAGCTGCATTTCCCTTGTGTGGACTGTGCTGTAATGCACCGACATGCCCTACGCTCCGAGACTTCCCCTTCATTGCAAAAATCACCACTGTGCTCTCAGCAACGCAACTTCACAGGGCTAGTGTATTTTATATATAGAGAGAGAAATCTACGCCCCCGGTGGGGAGTGACTCTCAGCAACGCAACTTCACAGGGCTAGTTGATTTTATATAGAGATAGAGAAATCTACACCCCCGGCGGGGAGTGAGCAGGATAGATGCAGTTCTGGGTAAATTGTATATTTTTATGAACTTTTGAAGCACGGAAGCTTGTTCACAGAGATTTATCTGGGGTGGGAGGGTTCTGGTGTAAATATGGTACATGGATGCAGATGCATATTTTGTTCTGGTTTTGTTTCGGTAGCCTTATGCAATGTGACATGAATTGTTACCCTGACTTTTGTGAGGTGACTTAGGTTTACCTCATAAGAACCCAGTGAAATGTTTGGATCCATATGGAAAAAAGGGGTATGGGAAGTACCCTGGTTATGAGGAACTTCTTCCACTTAGTGTGTGTTAGCATCCATTTCAGATTTCACTGCAGATGCCTGCTGGTACTCTTAAGTCCATTTGAACAAAAGATGAAGGCTGAACACTAAAATCGGGTGGGGTGAGTGACTGTGAGGTTTGTTCTTCTTTGGCTCAGTTTTTTTTGGTGGGTTTTGGGGAGTATTTTTGAGCTGGGGTTTTTAGTTTTTACAAGAAAGGACGAGGAGATGCTGTTTTCCAGGCTTGAGATCTAAACACCCGTTCAAGGTCAAAAAAGCGATTCTTTCAGCCTGAAGAAATCCCATCACTCCTTCATCTGCCTCCTCCATAAAACGGCTGTGGTGAGCTGCTCGCCCCAGCTCCACAGAGCCCAGCACCCGCTCCGGGTGCACACAGGAGCCAGCCAGCACGTGGGCTCACAGCTCCTCTGCTGCTCGGCTGATACCCCAGGTAAACACGGACAGGAATTTCAGAGAGGGGTGAAGCATGTCGTGTTGACTGCAGGGGAAAACTGCGCATGCAGATATTTCATCTGCAGAATAGCTGGTGGGCTGTAAGTTCCCACCCCAGCTAACCCCGCTGTAACTTGTGCCATGCGCTCCTGCCTTGACACAGCATCAGCAGGAGAGAGCTGTGGATTTAGTCCTGGGAAGACTATTTTCCTTGGTCAGAGAGATCCAGTTACATACAGATACATATGATACCCAGCCAGAAAGGGGAGGAGAGAGCACACGTGTGTGCAGGAGCACGTGCCATGACTAACATCCATGCCTTTTGCCTCGTGACCAAAGCACCTTTGTGTTTGCAGGTCACCTTGGTGGTCTCAAAATGGTATTGCTTCCTCCTGGTTCCTAGAAACCTTGGGAGAAGTGACTTGAAAGCTCCTGTCTGGGTGGAGGGGGACCTGCCTTGCCCAGACAACCGACCAGGCAGGATTATTTACTAATCGTGTTTCTGGAGTCACCAAAAAGCAGCCCCAGCCTCATATTAGCCACTGGGGAAGCCTCACCGGGGCCAGCAGCTCTCACCGAGCAGCACACCCTTTCCTTGCAGGGCAGATTGCAGTCTTAGGATCTGCGGGCTTGAAATCTCTTTGTAGGGACAGAGAAGTGTTTAATGACAAACTTCAGTAATTTGCTGGTGGAAATGTAAAACCGTGTTCAGGAAAGACCAAAATAACATTTTCCAAAACAACTTTCAAGTCTCCTTCAAATGGACTTTGGAAGGGAAATGGTGCAATTGAGTTAGTCACTCTTGGACCCAGAGAACGTCTTCATTACTGGAACTAGCTGTAACATTTATAATTAATCCTTCAAAACATGCAGCAGTCTACAAGCAGCCGGGCTATAATGAGTTTTTTAGAGGTAGTGTCAGCGTCTAATCTGGTTCCTTAAGTGAAGTTTAATACTATACCATTTGAATTACTACTCAGTGTCTTTTTTTTTAATTCACTGATTTCTGCTATGTTATTATTGCACAATTTTGAAGGAATTTTTGTCTGTCAGTTTTTTTTCCCCACGTAATGATAATAATAAAAATGGACTGGGTAAACAAAACAATTTCTGGTTTCCAAAATTATTACCTAGCCTCTGTGTGTCTAGTGCAATAAAAAGGAGACTTTTTTTCTGAACTGTATTTGATTATTGTGTTATGTTAGACAGACACATATAACCTAACAGGATGATCAGAAACAGAAAAATAGAGCTTTCTGCAGAAGGAGCAGCAGAATCCTACTGAAAAGGTGCCGCTAACATTCATAAC